CCAGGCCACAAGCAGGAGCTGGATGGGAAGTGGGGCTGCCAGAACATGAGCCATATAGGAGGCCGATGCTTGCAAGGAGAAGATTTAGCCATTGAGCCATCAGGCCTCGCCCCTTCTTCAATTTTCTTAACAGTACAGGATGCTGCCTCTCAACTGGTCAAATTCAATCTGATACAGTAACAGACAAATAATAGCATGCAAATGACAGACACGCTAGGAAGGCCAAAGTGGCATGAGACAGCTATGCATATATAGAATACAACAGCCACAAACCACAGCAAATTTCATAAAACAATAACTTTCGTTTCACTAAGTGAAAATGAAGAAGTTGGGTCAGTCTGGCTATTTTCAATTAAAATAAATATTCCTTTCCTGAAATGCCACTTCATGCCTCAAAGTTCTGGTCCTCTGCTGAAGCAGGAACTTGCTGGGGTCTTTCCACACCACAGAAGGCAAAGAATGAATATCAGATCCACAGATGCTTAAAAGTTATCTTCAAGAACTCAACATAGATAAAGCTTGATAAAAGCATTGTACCAAATGTGAAAAAGAAATAAACTTTTGGGAAGATGAACATGAATGATTTGTTTGCTTTTCTTAATACCAGCAACTCAAGTGCTATTCAAACCACTGCTACTCGAGAGCCTAGGTCAACAATGACTCAGCTTGAAAAATTCTGTATTGTTTTTAAAAGAAATGCACCATCCTATGGCTGCAGCTCATGGGCCAGGGGACAGCCCCTTCCTCCCCAAATTATAAACTAATTTCCATGTGAATGGCTGAAAACAGGCAGTGTTTATTTTAGCGTACAACAAAAATACTAGGTGCTTCTTATAGGATATCCCCCAGGGAGAATCCCTCTGCAGGGTCTGGGTTCCTGGACTGGCTGGGCTCAGAGTTGGGTTGGGGGGCATCTAAGCAGCACAGGAAGTGGCAGTTCCACCTTGGCCTGTGACCCAGGACCAGAGAGTGCACAGAGCGCGGCCCGAGCTGGACAGCCCAAAGCTGTGAGGCAGGGGGTGCACCGTGGTTCTGGCCAGAGCTGGGGCCCCCTGCAAGACTTCCACTTCCCACGCAGCGCACTAGAAGGTGCAACTAGGCCCCAGTAGTCAGGCCAAAGCCACGCGAGTCATAAGAGGCACTTTCTGCCCCTCCCTCCAAGCAAAGAATTCAAATTTTACCAGTTTTAAATATTGTGAAAAAGAAAATTTAAACAACTATTTAAGATGATCAATCAAATGCCACGCTGCCTGGGTGAAGCAAGACACTGTTTAGACTGCCTGGTGATGAATGACAATCGTCACAGCAGCAGTGGGAGGACAGCGCAGGGTGCAGGGAGCTGCAGGCAGGCAGCGCTATTTCCTCAGCACACACACACTGACCCATCACCTCCCGGGCTGCAGGACCATCAGTCAGCTGGGCACCCCTTCCTCACGGGCTGTCCCTGGCCACGAGGCACCCTCAGCTCCGAGCTTCTGCACAGGAACTTCTTCCCTTTGTTTGCTACAAGAGTGACTATTTTCTCACTTCTTGGTCCTGTAGCTTTCATCATGCCAATAAAGAGAGGTGGGTAAGGTGACAAGACAGAGCAAAAAAGAAAAGTTCATGTGCCAAAACTGAACAAAAGGAATAAGAATGGAACAGGGCAACTTAGATCTGACCAGTTTCTAGTCTTGACAGAGATTTTTCTAGAAAGAGCCCTTGAAGACGAAGACATGTTACTGAATTGAAACAGCCATCTCTTGCCCTCTACCCCGCCCCAACTGGCACATCAGCTGTTCCAGAAGGCCACGGCTACCACCTCCCATTCTGCAGTTCCCAATTCCAACACGAAAGCCAACGTCAGTGCCGGGGGTGGAGCCGCGCAGCATCGGAGATCTGACAGACTCCGGAACATCAGTTACCAGTTTCGGAAGAAAAATCAGCTCTTTGTTCTTCCATCCCCTCTCCTATTATGTAAACTTGGGCTTTGGGCAATGCAGAAACTTTTAAAGCTGCCAGCAATACGAAAACTCTGGAACACAAATTTAAGTAGTGCTGAATACACAGTTGCTTTTATTCTTAATTAACTGTCACTTCCACATGAGAATCAAAAACAAAACAGCTATTTAGACCAACAAGGGTAACACAATCTCTAAAATAAATTCAGCGACTGAATCGCGATCTGTGACACAGGCCACAGAGTCAGCAATGGCAACGAGCATTCGTTCTTTAATTCAACCATGGGGAGACATGCTGCACACGCCAACCCTGACCAGGCCACTCCCGGGGCCGCCCTGCCGTCCAGCCCCTTCCCCATCCCGCTGGGTGAGCCAAGAGCCAGTTCGGCAAATGCATGTGGTTTGTATCTCCAAAGTGTTCACAAGGAACGATTTCTAAGTGCTGGAATAAACAAAGTTTGGTCACAGCTCAGTGAAGAAAATCCTTCCAGTAAATACCCCATCACAGCTAGATGGCAGCTCTAATACGCCACTGCCCTAGGTCACACAGAAGGGGGAAAAAAAAAGCCACGCTTAGATTTACTTGAAGAATAAAATAATCCCACAACACACCGAAGGAAAACACCTGATGGTTTTCCCATACAAACCACCTCCACCTTGGAAGGACCCTGAGGCCACACCTCCACCAGCAGGTACCCAAAGCACATTTCCCAGACAAGACTGCAACTGCACTCACACCAGCCAGTTCCTAGCATCCCACTTGAACTCCACAGACGAGCTCACTCACAGAGCTTGGGGACCTTCGGGGTCCATCCCCTCACCCACCAGATTTGCCAGGGATCTGCCCCCCTCCCCCAGGCCCTGGGCTCCCAGGGAACACAGGCAATACCAGAGGGCAGACACCCGAGTGACACTTGGCACTCACTTGTTCCAAGCCAGTGGCCCTCACCATTTTGCAGCCCTGGAAGCGGGAGCCTTCCTGGGGCAGAGCGGAAAAGCAGAAAAACCTACCTTCTCAGATCCCTGCCCAGGCCATGCTGCATGCCAGAGCAGCCGCTCCCGAGACCCGGCATTTCCCCAGCTAGGGGTCAAACACGAATACAACCTGGGGGGGGGGGTGCGGGGGACGCTCTAGTGGGACCAGCTTAGAGGCGGGAGGCAGCAATGGGTGCACTGGACTGAGCGCAGAGGAAAAGTGAGGAAGAGAATCAAGTCCAGCAGCTGCGGGCCCTTGTCTAGACGACACAGAGCTGCAACCCCAAAGATGGGAGGAAGGGGAGAGCAAACAGATCTCAGAGAAGAAGGGGGTCCGCCTAGGGAGCCCCACTTCCACCACCGGCCTTGGCCTGGGTGGGAAGAACGGAAGACACTCCCAGACCCCAGAGAGCAGGAACCGGTCGGCCAGCCCCCACCTATTTCCCCAGCGCTGGCTCTCGGGATCCCGGGGGACAGAACCCGAGGCCGGCGGAAGGCATCTGCAGCCTCAGAGCCCCGGAGGAGCCGGGGAGGCTCAGAGCCACGGTGGGCGGGGGGAGCCCCCGGTGGGCCCTGCGTGCCAGCCACGCCAGTAGCTGGGAAAAGCAGGAGCCAGGTGGGACACGCGGGTGGGGGGACAGCCGGGGAGACGCGATCCGACACGGAGTGAGGCTCCACGCAGGGACCCAGGCCCCTTCAAGACAGCAGGCGCGAAGACGACGACCCCGCAGCGTGAGAACGCGGGGAGGAACCACGCCAAGGGCCGGACGCGGGCACAGAGCGAAGGATGCACGCCGGGGCCAGGGCGGCCGCACAGCGCTGGCACGTCGGTGGGGAGCTGTGGTCAGCACACCAGAGTGCAAAGGCCCCTTCCCACAGCGGACAGCAAGGGGACGGTCAAACAGGAGTCCCCCCCAAAACAGGCAGCCAAGTGACAGGCAGCTCCGGGGGAGGAAAACCTCCAACGAAGAGAACGGGAACAGGAGCCGGTGCACAAGGGAGCTGGGCACGGCTGGGTGGGGGTGCACAGGGTCGGGTCACAGAGGTCACAAGAGTACAGGCCAAGAACAGCACCGGTCCCCGGGGCAGAGGCCTGAAGAGGTGGCAGGAAGCCCTCTCAGGAGGCACTCGAGGGGAGACAGTCCCAAAAGGGGTGCAAGCAAAGGAATGGAGCAGCTCAGAGTGCCCCAAAACGGGGGCGGGGGACAGAAAGGGAGAGAGAGAGAGAGAGAGAGAGAGAGAGCCCTCCACGGGGCTGGGGAGGGGTCAGGTAAGGGAGGGCCTGGAGGTCGGGGCTAAGGTCGCAGAGGAGCAGCCAGCGCGAGCCGGCCAAGGGGCAGAGCCGGGAGGCGGAAAGGTCTGGAAAAGAGGAAAGGGTCTGAATGGCGAGAGGGGGAGGTGGCAGGCGGCTGCAGCGAGGCGCGGCAGGGCCTGGGGAGCCGGCCAGGCAGCAGGCTGCAGCCCGGGGAGCCGAGGGCTGCCAAGGCCGGGCTGCAGGGCCCACGGGCGGGGGGCGGAGGAACAGGGGTGCGCCTGGACCTTCAAGCAGGGGCAGCAGATCCTAAAGGGACAGCTCCTGTTGTGGCGGGGGGGGGGGGGCGTGCAAGAGCGGCCGAGCTGGGGGGCCGGGGCCAGAGCCCAGGCAGGACCGCAGCAAGGGATGGATGCCCCAGGGTCCCCAGGACCCTGCAGAACCAGCCAGCCCCCCAAGAGGGGACAGGCGGAGAATCGGGAGCAGGAGCTGGGGAGGGGGGTGCGCAAGGGGGTGGGGACACGGCAGACAACCAGGGTCCCCACGGGCGGCAGACGCGGGGACAGCAGGCCTCGGGCGGCCAGGGACAAGTCCGAAGGGCAAGGCGGGCCTTGCGGGGGACCGGCCAGGCGACGGGGCCCCGCCGCAACCCCGAGGGGCTTGGAGAGGGGGGTGCCCGCTGCCTCCCCTCCCCCTCCGGCTCCTCCATTGTTCGCGGGCTCCGGGTCCCGCCGTCCCCGCCTCCTCCTCCCGCTCCGGACCCCGCAGCGGGGCGGCGCCCGGCCTTGTCGGCGTTCGAGGGGGGCCCCCCGCGAGCTCGCGCCCTCACTCACCAGCCTGCTCCCTCAGCGCGGCCCCGGCCTCCGGGATCCCGGCCGCGGGGACGGCGGCCCCGGCGCCATGTTCCCCTGCTCCTTGTCCAGCAGCGGCGGCGGCGGCGGAGGCGGAGGTGGCGGTGCCGGTGGCGGCGGCGGCGGCGGCGGGGGGCCGGGCGGACCCTCCCTCGCGGACTCCCTCCTCCTCCTCCTCCTCCTCCTCCCGCCGCGCCGCGGCTCTCCCTCGGGGCGGGGGGCGGGGAGGGGAAGGGGGGAGGGGCGGGGACCAGGGGGAGGGCGGACCAGCCTCGCTCGCTCCCTCCCTCCCTCCCTCCCTCGCAATGGCGGCGGCGGCGGCGGCGCCTCCTTCCTGCGGCCGCCGCTCCCGCGCGCGCGCGTGCACACACACACACACACCCCCCAGCGGCCTCCCGACTGCGCGTGCGCGACGCGGGACCGTGAAGGAGATGTGTGTGTGTGTGTTGTGGGGGGGGGGGAGGCAGGGATAACGGCCCCCAGGCCCGCGAGTGCGCCTGCGCGGCCGCAGGGGCGCCCAGTTCTCCCGCTTTGGTCTAAGGGGCTGGGGGCGCACGCGCCCGGCGCAGTGCGCGTGCGCCCGAGAGAAGGCCGCTACTGCGGCGCGAGAGGCGCGCACGGGCGCGGGGAACGGGGCGGGCCAGTGCGCGTGCGCGGGACAGGGGTTCGCGAATTTCTGAGACAGCCAGGAATCGAAGGGGAGAGAGAGGCATGCATGGCCCCCTCCCGGCTGGGAGAGGCGGGGTGCGCAGGGGAGCGATCCCGCTCGCGCGGGACCTAAGCAGCCAATGGGAAGCGCGCGGAGGTGGGCCGGCCGCGCGGAGTCGCAGCCCCCGCCGCCGTCACGGCCGCCGCCACCGCCGGGATAACGGAGGAGGAGAGACGGGGCGACGTCACGTGGGTGTGGGCGGGGCTGCAAGGCTAGTGGTTGATTGGGCAAGGCGGGGAGGCGTGGCCCGCCTCGGGCCAATCCGAGCCTGGCGCTGCCTCGTCCCGGAAGGAGGGGCGGGGCTGCCGAGCGCGTGCTCCGCTCCCGGCAGGGAGGGAGGAGGGTGTCCGCCCCGGGGCGGCGGGTGGTCGCGGTTCTGCTGCTCTCGGCGCCCCTGGACCTGGAGGGCAAGCCCGACCCCGCGTGGCCTCCCGCCTCGGCCCCTCCTCGGAGCTGAGCCCTCTGCAGTCCCTCCGGAAGTACGGATGGTGGGAGACGCGCTCCCCGGGCGCCCAGGCAGCCTTTCCTAGTATTGCATGTTCATTTTTTTTCCCCTTCTTTCTCATTTCTCTTCATGTGTAAAATGGCGTCATCGTTCTCTCCCTCTCACAGAATTGCTTTGACAATTAAGGGACAGCTTCCCCTCCTCCTCCTTATAACCAGGGATCTTTTCCAAGAACCACCCGTGGGTGCCTGACCCCGTGCATTCATCAACCCTATTTCTACAGTGTTGTGTGTGTTTTCTAATATATTCCTACATGCCTGAAAATGTAATTATACATTAGGCACAATAAGAGATTAACACCAATAACTGACCAAACAGGACAGTCACAGCAGTGTACTGTAAAGAAAATTATGTGATTCTGGAAATGGCTTGCATATTAATATGTTTTTTTTAGCCACGATTGGCAAAAAGGTAAGTGAAATTTGGTTAAAAAGCAAGTACTGTGTATAAAGTGCTAGAAATCGTGCCTTGCACATAGTTAAATGCTGTATTAAGTAAAAATACAAGAATGTTTTAAGGCTTTTTTTAAGCAGAGTGACAGGGAGAGAGAGCTTCTGTCTGCTGATTCACTGCGGAAATGGCCATTCTACAGCCGGGAGCGTCATCCAGGTCTCCCCGTGGGTGCAGGGACCCAAGGCCTTGAACCATCCTCTGCTGCCAGGCACATTAGGGGGAGCTGGATCAGAAACAGGAGCAGGGACTCCAACCTGCTCCCATACGTCTACACTGCTGGCCCAAAGAGCAGGTTCTACAACGTCCCATGAAATAAATGTTTTCTGATCAAAAGATGTTTTCAGTAAAGTTTTTTTTTCATAAAATTTAGAGCTGATAATGTGTTACATCTGATTTTTTAAAACATAACTTTATTTTTTACAGATCTATTATTATTTTTTAAGATTTATTTATTTTAGGGCCCGGCGCGGTGGCGCAAGTGGCTAGGTCCTCGCCTGGCACGCCCGGGATCCCATATGGGCGCCGGTTCTAATCCCGGCAGCCCCGCTTCCCTTCCAGCTCCCTGCCTGTGGCCTGGGAAAGCAGTCGAGGACGGCCCAAAGCTTTGGGAACCTGCACCCGCGTGGGAGACCCAGAAGAGGCTCCTGGCTTCGGATCGGCATAGTATCGGCCCGTTGCGCTCACTTGGGGAGTGAATCATCGGACGGAAGATCTTCCTCTCTGTCTCTCCTCTCTGTATATCCGCCTTTCCAATGAAAAAATAATAAAAATAAATCTTTAAAAAAAAAAATAAATCTTTAAAAAAAAAAAGATTTATTTATTTTATTGGAAAGGCAGATGTATAGAGAGGAGGAGAGACAGAGAGGAAGATCTTCCGTCCAATGATTCACTCCCCAAGTGACCGCAACGGCTGGTGCTGTGGCGATCTGCAGCCGGGAACCAGGAGCTTCTTCCTGGGTCTCCCACGTGGGTGCGGGATCCCAAGGCTTTGGGCCGTCCTCGACTGCTTTCCCAGGTCATAAGCAGGGAGCTGGATGGGAAGTGGAGCAACTGGGATTACAACCGGTGCCCATATGGGATCCCGGTGCATTCAAGGGGAGGACCTTAAAAATTACGCTATCATGCCAGGCTCCCAAACTTATTATTTTTATTGCAAACTCAGATATACAGAGGTGAGGAGAGACAGATAGGAAAAATCTTCCATCCACTGATTCACTCCCCAAACCACCACAATGGTCGGAGCTGAGCCAATCCAAAGCCAGAAGCCTGTCCGATGATTTCACTCCCCAAGTGACCATAATGGCCAGTGCTGCGGTGATCCGAAGCCAGGAGCCAGGAACTTCCTCCAGGTCTCCCACACAGGTACAGAGTCCCAAGGCTTTGGACCATCCTCGACTACTTTCCCAGGCCACAGGCAGGGAGCTGGATGGGAAGTGGGGCTGCTGGGATTAGAACTATGCCTTTATGGGATCCAGGCGTGTGCAAGGTGAGAACTCCAGCCGTCCGTCCACCACACTTGGCCCTGGACATCTCTTTAAAACTTTTGGTTGGGCCCAAAGGCGTGGCCTAGTGGCTGAAGTCCTTGCCTTGAATGCACCAGGATCCCATGTGGGTGCCAGTCATGTCCCGGCTGCTCCACTTCCCATCCAGCTCCCTGCTTGTGGCCTGGGAAAGCAGTGAAAGATGGCCCAATGCTTTGGGACCCTGCACCCATGTGGGAGACCTGGAAGAGGTTCCTGGCTCCTGACTTCGGATTGGCACAGCACTGGCCATTTTGCTCATTTGGGGAGTGAATCATCGGACGGAAGATCTCTCCTCCTCTCTGTATATCTGACTTTGTAATAAAAATTTTAAAATCTTAAAAAAAAAAAACTTTTGGTTCAAATATTTTAGAGTGCTAACCACATGCAGGAGCTATCACGGCAAGCGGGCTGGTGACTTTTGAGATCTTTGGAGGGAGCAGGGAACAGAAGCCCATACACCCAGACCTGTGTGCATGGCGAGTCCCCCTGATGGATGGGCAGTGTGTGAACAGGCAGCAGCTCCTGCCAACAGCAGACATAGCTCACTGTGCACCCCCGACACCCTCTTGTGGGGTCTCTCAACTCCGCCTTATCCCACAGCCCTCTGCTCCGTGGCACTTCCTCCTCCGCGTGGCCTCCCTGATTTTGCCTTGACCCTTCAGTCTTGAGTAAAAAATGATCAGTATGTTCCCAGGCAACATGCCGAAATGCCTGAGGATCCGTTTGCTTAACCCTCACCACACGGAGCGTGTGGCCAGCCAGCAAGTGGCAGGTGTGGGCTGAGGCCCACGGCGCAGCAGTCAGGTGACCCACAGCACAACACACCTGTTCTTCCTAGCCTGGAGTTCTGTTTGGGTGTCACTCACTTTAACAGGGGAACCCTTTGAACCCCAGCAGGTTCCAGGCTGGCAAACGGCCCACGATTAAGACTTGCTAATGAGGAAGTGAATGCTTTCAATGTCAAGACGCTGGTGGTAGACAAAAAGTCCTTGTCCGCTGACCCCTACCGTGCTTGCAGGTGCAAACTCTTCCGGAAGGCATAGCCCATCACCCTGCAGTCTTATAGGACTGGAATCCAAGCCAAGACAGACCACTCTTGGCCACATTCCCCCGTTTGCCATCAGTGGTCTTTCTATCCCATGACCCTGAAAGCCCCAGGAGGGCAGGGCCAGGACTGAAGCCTTGATCGCTCAATCCCCAACCCGGCCGGGAGAGCCGTGGAGCAGGACCGGCCCAGCTCCCAGCTCTGCAGGGCGGGAGATGGGCTACTGCGAAGTAAGACCAAGCACAGGAAGCAAGCTTCCCTGGGGGCAGCCGCCCCCGCGTGCACCCAGCCAGCCTCCACTGCAGCATAAATAAACACCCGAGTAAACAATCAGCCGGCTGAGAGAAGGGCTGACTGCTGCTTTGGGCCGCTGTCCAGATCTCCCAAACGCCGCTCTGGGAGGAAAGGAAAGCCGAATGGCTGGACGAGGGCTGTGGAGATGTGGAGGTGCAAGCCTGGGCGGGGCTGGGGGGGCGGGTCATGCAGCAACCTATGTGGAAGAGTTTTTGGGTTGATTTTGTATGGTTTGGTTTTTGCAAAGAGGGTAGGGTAGCAGGACTGTATTCTCTATCATTCCCGAAGGTCTGGAAGCACCGAAGCAAGACAGGGTGGGGACCGGGTCTGCGCGTGAGGCCGCAGCGCCACCTGCAAACCAAACTGAGGAAGCGGCAGGTGGCTGAAGCTGCTACCCGCGGTGGCCAGCGTGTCCAGCGGGCAGCTCCTCCGCCATTGGCCAGGAGGGCAGCCAATCACCACGAAGGAAGCGGAGGCGGGGATGCTCAGTTTAGCTTTGCAGTCCCGAATATTTGCAGGTCACTGTTGACAAACGTCAAACATTATAGATTTTTAACGTATTTGCAAGGAAAGCAGAAGCAGAGCGATCTTCCCATCTGCTGGTTCAGACCCCGCATGACCACCGCAGCCGGGGCTGGACCTGGCTAAAACCAGGAGCCTTGGAACTACGGGTGAGTGTGAGGACTTGAACTGCTGACGCCTGCTGCCCCCCAGGCAGTGCTGGGGGCTGGACAGGAAGCAGAACCAAGACTCTGCTCCATGACCTTCACTGTGGGAGACCGTCCCAAACGGCATCATGAACTGCAGCCATACGCTCACCTCGTACAAACATTGAGATTCCAATAGATCAGACATTGAGAAATGGGCAAGTGGCCGCGGTGGGGTGTGAAAATTCACTAGGGAAGGGGACTGGTGCGATAGCCTAAGGGCTAAAGTCCTTGCTTTGCTTTGCACCAGGATCCCATATGGGCGCCAGTTCTAATCCCGGCAGCTCCACTTCCCATCCAGCTCCCTGCCTGTGGCCTGGGAAAGCAGTCGAGGACAGCCCAAAGCTTTGAGACCCTGCACCATGTGGGAGACCTGGAAGAGGCTCCTGATTTCGTATCAACTAAGCTAGCGGTTTTGGCCACTTGGAGAGTGACCCAACAGACAGATCTTTCTCTCCTGTCTCTTCTCTCTGTAAATCTGCCTTGGCAATAAAAAAATAAGTAAATCTTCTTTAAATTTTTACAGGGGACTCACATTTGCGAGCAGCGGGATGAAGGCACAGAGCTTTACGCTGCACTCAGAACCTCGGCTCTCTCCTCCTGCTTGCGCCCCTGCGCCAGCTGGCAGGAGAGTCTCGCCTGAGTCTGTACTTTGCAGAACCCGGGATTGTGGCAGGTGTTCTTGCCTGTGGCCGCTCTGGAGTCCACGCTGGGACATGCCCTTTTGTTGCTGTGTGGTGTCACTTCCTTCTCCTTGTGTGGATGGGGGAGTCCGAATCAAATCCTTACAACCGTACCAAGTGCCCTTCTATCAAATAGCATAATTTAAAAAAAAGATTTATTTTTATTGGAAAGGCAGATGTATAGAGAGGAAGAGAGACAGAGAAGAAGATCTTCCATCCGATGATTCACTCCCCAAGTGACCACCACGGCCAGTACTGCGACGTCCTGAAGCCAGGAGCCAGGAGCTTCTTCCAGGTCCCCCCTTGAGGGTGCAGGGTCCCAAGGGCCGTCCTTGACTGCCTTCCCGGGCCACAAGCAGGGAGCTGGAAGGGCAATGGAGCAGCTGAGACATGCACCGGTTTGCATATGGATCCTAACACGTGCAAGGCGAGGATTTAACTATTGAGCCATCGCACCGGAGCCCAGTCCAGTTTTCTGTTGAAAACTACTGTTCCTAGAATGCTTTGCTCCCCGAAGGGCGGGGTTGAATGGGAGAGGCAGCCAGGACTGCATTTCCCGCAATGCAACGCGCGCGCTGGCCGCCAAGCATCTCGGGAAATGTAGTCCTCTGAGGGGAAGCTCAGCCCAGAACTCCCACCATGCATTTGGGTTCTGAGTCGTCTGGAGGCGAGAAGGGACAGTCGCGCAGCCTGCTGGGAAGCGGACCCTCCGCTTTCCCGCGGCAGCTGGACGAACGGGAGAGCGCTGCCCGTTCGTGGAACTCCAAGTCCCAGCGAGCCGTGCGCGCGAGCGAGGGCAGGCGGCTCCTCCTGCGGAAGCCCATTCCGGCCCTAGCCGCCCCGACTGCAGCCTGAGCCCGAGCAGCTCAGTCGCCGCGGGACCTGGGCAGCTGGGGTCCATCGGGGGTCGCCATGGTAACGGGGCGCGCTCCCGACGGGGGGTCCACGGGTGGACTGCCGAGGCTCGGGCCGGTGCTGACCAGCCATGCCCTGGACGCCGAGGCGTGGGGCGGGCGCTTGGGATTGGGGCCGAGAAGGGGGCGCCCCCAGCCCTCGGGGTGCGCCGAAGGACGGAGGTGTTCTCGAAGGCAGCGATCTCCCATCGCTAGCCTGGCAGGTGGAGAGGGGGCGTTGGGAGCGGGACCCGATCCTGCAGCAGCGGAGAAGGATTCCTTAGGATGGACTGGAGAAAGTGAGGGTAGGGGGCCGCCCAAGGAGAGAGGGCATGGAGGTCGCCGGCGGACACTCGGAATGAATGGGGGAGGCGCTGGAATAGGGGTGTCTTTTGCAGGGACAGACGGGAGCTGGCAGGGTGGGTTGTCGGCTTGCAGGTCACGAGGTTTGGGGAGGGGGCTCTTGGGGCCAGCTCTGAGCACTGGGTTTCGGGGGTCCAGGGTGAGGGGCTTGGGGACGAAGCCAGGGTTCTTTGGCCGGAGTAGGGTAGCAGGGACGGGCCTGAGAGATGGATGGTCCATGGGGTCAGGGCCTTCTAGAAGAGGGGCTGGCGAGACGGGAGGAGGTCGGGGAAGAATATGGGGTGTGCGCTGGGGCTGTGGAAGTCGGCGGCCCAGCTGGCTGTCCACTCCGCTGGCCAGCCTGGGGCTCTCCCTCCGGCCGCCTGGCTTGAGTCTCTGCCACTGGCTTCTCTTTCCTGCCCCCGGCCCTGCTAGGAAGTGGTTCTCCCTGGCTCAGCAGGAGGAGTTCTTGGAAGGAGAGGTCACATCCTCTTCCTGTCCCCGCTGAGTGGGTTGGAGGGGAGGGAGGCACCGAGGGGGTGCAGGCTCCTTTTAAAAGGGGCAGGGCAGGGTGGGGGAGCCCCGGGTTGGGGGTTCAGTGCAGCCTGTGGACTTCCTTTTCCAAACCTGGGTGACCCTGGGTGTCACAGGGGCTTGAGTGTGTGTCCAGAGCCTGGCTTCCTGGCAGGGGGCGTGTGGGCTGTGGTGCTTACAAGGTCACATCTTGAGCATGCTGCGAAGAGCGGGTACTTCTGCCGTGTTCGGTGGCAGAGGGAAGACGCTCAGACCTGCCCCACCCCAGGGAGGTGGCATTGGGTCCGCGCCACGCCGCCATATCTCACACCTAGATTGAGTTCCTAACCCTTGGCTTTGGGGTGGCCTGATCCCAGACGTTGTGGACGGGTGGGGACGTGGGAGGTGAGAGCTTGCTCTCCTCTCTCTCCTTCTTAAATTAACAAAGAAAAAAAAGAGAGAGGGTTGTGAGAGAACGGAATGAAAAATGGTTGTGTTGCAGAGTCCTTGAAACCCTGTAGACCCTCGGAATATGCGTCTTGCTGAACTTTCGGAAGATGGATTTGCATGCGTGGATTTCAGTGTTTCCTTCCCAAGATAACTGATGGCTCAATTAGCTAATCCTCCACCTGCATCTCATATGGGTGCCTGGCCGCTCCACTTCCCATCCGGCTCCCTGCTTATGGCCTGGGAAAGCAGCGGAGATGGCCCAAGTCTTTGGGACCCTGCACCCGTGTGGGAGACCCCAAAGAAGCTTCTGGCTTCTGGTTTCAGATCAGCTCAGTTCCGGCCATTGCAGACATTGGGGAATGAATGAGCAGGTGGAAGATCTTTTTCTCAGACTGCTCTTCTCTCTGTAAATCTTACCTTTCCAACAAAAATAAGTAAATCTTAAAAGTATAAATGTATCTTTAAAAAACGAAGACAAAATTTTAGTTGACAGTCGGAGCAGGAGGGTTGATGCGTGGATGCTGGGTGATCCCCAAGTGCCTTCGACAAGCAGGTCTGGACCAGGTCATGGCTGGGACCCAGAAACTCCAGCCGGGTCTCCCCTGTGGGTGGCAGAAGCCCCGGGACTTGAACCCTCACCCCCTGCCTCCCAGGGTGTGTGTCAACAGGCCGCTGAGCTGGGATTCAACCCAGGCGCTCCAGCGTGGGATGTAAGTGACCACTTAACGGGCTGGACCAACACCCACCTCTCAACCTAGCTTCTCAGTTGGTGTTCCATGGACTTTTATTTTTAGAAGACTTATTTATTTTTATTGCAAAGTCAGATATACAGAGAGGAGGAGAGACAGAGAGGAAGATCTTCCATCCACTGATTCACTCCCCAAATGGCCACAATGGCCAGAGCTGAGCCGATCTGAAGCCAGAAGCCTAGAGCCTCTTCCAGGTCTCCCACACAGGGTACAGAGTCCCAAGGCTTTGGGCCGTCCTTGACTGCTTTCCCAAGCCGCAAGCAGGGAGCTGGATGAGAAGCAGGGCTGCCAGGATTAGAACTGGTGCCCAAAAGGAATCCCGGTGCATTTAAGGCAAGGAGTTCAGCCACCAGGCTACGGCACTAGGCCCTCCATGAACTTTTCAAAGTACCCTGCTATGACACCCTTGCTCTGTTGATCACCTGCTGTGTTTGTCTGAGAAGGAGACTGTCCTAATGTCCGAGGCCCAGGGAGGTTGAGCTGCTCAGGGACACACAACCAGAAGCAGGCAGTGGCAGGATTTGTTCCGGCTCTGAACCTGTGCCGTCAGCCAGCCAGCGTGGGGACACCTGATTGTACTGGGCGCTCTGTGCACAGTGGGTGTCAGTTTCCGTGGTCACCCTGTGTCGGGCCTGGCTTTCTCCAGCCCATCACAACAGGCTTCCCGGAGATGACGCATGTTCAAGCAGAGGGCACATCAAACCTGAGCGAGCCAGGCACCTCACTGGGCACTGTGCGTACGCAAGGGGCTTGGTTTACGTGTTTGAAACAGAGTTACGGAGAGGGAGAAAAGGAGGGACATTTTGTCCTCCGGGGTCACTCCCCAAATGACCACAGGCGAGAGCTTGGGGCTCCTTCTGGGTCTCCCACACGCTCGGGCTGTCTTCTGCTGCCTTCCCAGGCGTGTCAGCAGGGCAGCTAGGACTGCACCAGGCACTCCAGTGTGGGCTGTGGGCGTAGCCTGCGGTGCCCCCATGCCAGCCCCTGGGGGCGTTGAAAACATTCTGGACTTTCCGGTGCCTTTCGGACAGCTGTACATATTGACATGTCAAGAATCAGTGAGCCTTCCGTGTCGTATGTGGATGAGTCTAAGAGCAGCGCATTATCCGTTAGCTAAAAAAAAACAAAAACAAAACCTCGTGGGGCCAGCGTTGTGCGGCTTCCCGTAGGGCCCCCGGTCAAGTCCCGGCCGCTCCGCTGGCGATCCAGCTCCCTGCTAATGTGCCTGGGAAAGCAGCGGAGGACGGCCAAGTCCTTGGTCCCCTGCACCCACGTGGGAGACCCAGATGAAGCGCCTGGCTTTGGCCACTGGGGAGCGAAGCAGCGGGTGAAAGGTATTCTCTCTCTCTCTAGCTCTGCCTTTCAAAACACTAAATAAATCTTGAAGAAAAATAAAAACGGAGTAAGACAAAGGGGCCAAGCGTGAAGCCTGAAATGCAGGCAGTTCTTCCGCTGCGTGGGACGGGAAATCGCTCCCTTGGGGGCTCCCCACCTGGCCCAGCTGAGCTCTGGGGAGCAGGCCCCGGGCCCCCTCTGGCTTGGGGGCCCCTCACCGCCCTCCCCTCTCCTCCTGCCATCCCCCCAGATCCGCTTCATCCTGATCCAGAACCGGGCGGGCAAGACGCGCCTGGCCAAGTGGTACATGCAGTTCGACGACGACGAGAAACAGAAGCTGATCGAGGAGGTGCACGCCGTGGTGACAGTCCGGGACGCCAAGCACACCAACTTCGTGGAGGTGACCCTGGGGCCCGCCTCCCCTCCTTCTGCATCTCTTCAGCCCTTCCCCCCCAGCCGCGCCCTTCATCCACCCGCTGTGGGAGCTGAGGAGTCTGTACCTCCCCCGCCCAGGCCGGCCAGCCCCGCTGGCGTGGGGTCGTGATGCAGCACCGGCCCGGATCCCACACTGCCTTTGCTTGTTCAGTGTCCTTGCCTCCAGGAAGCTCCATCTCCTGCGTCTCTGACGCGCTAGCCTGCTTGAAAGAACAGGCCCACGGCGTGGCAGGACGCAGCACGCATGTCCAGGGCGGCCTGTGCCCTGCCCTGTTCTGGCACCCCCGCCCGGGGCACCAGATGCCCTGGTGTGCAGGAGAGAGATAGGAGCGGTGATGGAGGCCAACAGGCAACAGGCAGCTCTGTGTGTGTGTGTGTGTGTGTGTGTGTGTGTGTGTGCGGCAGGGGGAGAGTTCTGCCTGCTGGGGAGAGCAGCATGGCAACGCATAGATTGACAGGTGACCTTGCGAGGATGGAGAGTGAGAGGAGATGATAGATAAGAGAGAGAGAAAGCGGGTAGTTTGAGACAAGGGAGAGCATGTGCAAAGGCCCTGAGGCAGCAGCATGCCTGGAGCCTGCCAGGAGCAGCAGTTGGGTCAGCTGGGGAGGGGCAGGGCAGGGGAATGTGGTCAGGCAGGTCCGCCGTGGGGAGGACGTGGCCACTCCACCCGGGTCTTGCATAGCAGGGGCCCAAGTACTGGCCTGGTCCAGCCCCGGCTGTTGCAGCCATTTCGGAGACTGAATCGGTGCATGGAAGATCTGTCACTCTGGCTCTCAAATCAATAAGAACATCTTAAAAAACAGATCCAAAAAAATCAACCTCCCCCCCCCCCAAATCCGATTACCGATGTTGGCATTCGTGGTCGCCACCAGATGGCGCCAGACTCACAGCGCGCCCCTTTCCATCCGGGACGTGCAGATCCAAACGCCAGTCTTTTTAAGCACTTCACACACGCGCGTGTCCTGGACCAGGCGTGCTTTCTTGCGGGTCGTCATGCGCCTGTTGTATTTCGATGCCCTGCAGCTGCGGGAGGGCAGCATCTGCCTGTGCACGCAGTGGATGCCTGCGGGATGGATGGCGGCTTGGATGCGTGCTGTGAGCCCAGGGCTGGGGGGGGGGCAAGGGCCAGGCCTGTGTCCTTGTCCCACTATACCTCCCCGAGACCTAGGACTGAGTGTGCGTGCCGAATGCCCAGGCCACCCTCTCCGCCCCGCGTGCCGCACCCTGTGACTGCCCCTCCACTCATGACCCCTCCGCCCGCAGTTCCGCAATTTCAAGATCATCTACCGACGCTACGCCGGTCTCTACTTCTGCATCTGCGTGGACGTCAATGACAACAACCTGGCCTATCTGGAGGCTATCCACAACTTCGTGGAGGTGCGTGGACGGGGCGGAGTGCCTCCCTTCCACGGGCCCCCTCTGCATCCTTGCGCCGCCCCTGCGCCCCCTGCTCCCGTTGCTGGCGGTAGAGCCAGCTCCCCTCTGTCTTGTTTCCGGAAGTCACTGCCTTCACCCAGCCCTGTCCCGTTGCTGCTTCCTGCATCTCTCCCCGCCTCAGTCTCCCTTCTCAGGTGCCCCCTGTTCCTACCCATCTCCCATCGCCTGCCTTCCCCACGCAGGTCTTAAACGAGTATTTCCACAACGTCTGTGAACTGGACCTAGTGTTCAACTTCTACAAGGTAGGCATTCCGGCATTCCCCCCTTCTTCCCAGGGGTCTCTGCGGTGTCGGACATCCCCCCCCACTCCTGCCTGCTAGGACCCACTCCCGCCTCCCGGCCTGGGAGGGCGCTTCTTACCCTGGGTGCCCTGCCCGGCCTGCCCCTCCAGGTCTACACGGTAGTGGATGAGATGTTCCTGGCGGGAGAGATCCGCGAGACGAGCCAGACCAAGGTGCTGAAGCAGCTGCTGATGCTACAGTCACTGGAGTGAGGAGGTGTCGCCCCAGCCTCGCCTGCTCGCCACCCCCGCCGCCCCCGCCGGCCCTGCCGGGTCTGGGCCCCGAGGGAGGAGACTGCCCCCCGCCCCCTCGCAAGCAGAGGCTCCTGCGTGTCCCACATACCCTGTGCCACTCTCACGTGATGCTGTGCGTGTGCGTGCGTGTGCCTGGAGCCCCCAATAAACCTGTGGTCTCGCCCAGCCTCCCTGTGTCTCATCCCCTACCTGCTGGGCTTCCCCGGGCACCGGGGACCCCGGCTCTGCTGGTGACAGGCTGGCTGGCTCTGAGCGCCTGCCTGGTGCCCCAAGCGTCCCTTGCTAATGCTTCCATGAGGAAGAGTCCGTTTCTCAGCCCAGCGAGGCTAAAAGACTGGCCCCAAGTCACAGGGCTGGGCAGTGGCCAGCAGAGGCTCCCGTAGGGTGCTGTGTCCCTTTCCTGTGTCACCCAGCAGTAGCCCTGGTGACCCTCGGGCTGCCCCGCACCTGCGTGGACTTGGAACTCTTCCCCCTGAAGTGTCTCTGGTCACTGTGTGACGACCTGTGTGTTTTCAGCGCCCCCAGCATGGTGCTGTGGCAGGTGTCATGGCTGCCAGCCACACCTGTGACCTGCCCCACAGCAAGCTGAGCACAGCTCTGCGCGTGTCAGCCCAGCTTCAGGGTCCAGGCTGCAGTGGGTGGTCCATCCCAGCCGGGACCCTGAGCACCTGAGCCACGGCACCTGTCTCACCTCAGGGGGAAAATGGATCACTCACAGTGTGTCACTGATGTGCTCATGTGTGTTTTTTTTTTTTTAAGATTTACTTATTTTGGGCCCGGCGCGGTGGCACAGTGGTTAAGGTCCTCGCCTTGCACGCCCGGGATCCCATATGGGCGCCGGTTCTAATCCCGGCAGCCCCGCTTCCCTTCCAGCTCCCTGCCTGTGGCCTGGGAAAGCAGTCGAGGACGGCCCAAAACTTTGGGACCCTGCACCCGCGTGGGAGACCAGGAAGAGGCTCCTGGCTTCGGATCGGCATAGCATCGGCCCGTTGCGCTCACTTGGGGAGTGAATCATCGGACGGAAGATCTTCCTCTGTGTCTCTCCTCTCTGTATATCCGCCTTTCCAATAAAAATTAAAAAAAGATTTATTTATTTTATTGGAAAGGCAGATATACAGAGAGGAGGAGAGACAGAGAAGGAGATCTTCTGTCCACTGACTCACTCCCAAAGAAGCCACAACGGCTGGAGCTGAGCCGATCCAAAGCCAGAAGCCAGGAGCCTCTTCCAGGTCTCCCACGCGGGTGCGGGGTTCCAAGGCTTTGGGCCGTCCTTGACTTTCTCCAGACCACAAGCAGGGAGCTGGATGGGAAGTGGAGCAGCTGGGACATGGATTGGTGCCCATATGGGACCCCTGCACATGCAAAGTGAACCATTTAGCTATTGAGCCATCATGCTGCCCTCCCCCCAAGCAGCATTTGAACCACTGTGCCCAACATCTGCTTCTCCTGAGGTCAGTGAGAAGATCCTGGGGGAATCGCAGGGCAGTCTCAGGACTCCAAGAGGGAGACGCCAGGAAGTGAGCAGACCAGAATGGCCTGAGCATCCAGGGACGAGGCTGGGGTGGGGTGGGGTGGGGTGGGGCCCTGCAGACCGTGAGCAAAGCCCTGGGACTCCTCCAAGCCTCAGCACCCCCTCCCCGGGCGAGTCTGGGCACAACCTTGAAGCAGGAGTTCAAGTCCCCGGGCCAGCTGCATCGTGCACCCTGCAGGGCCCTGGTCCTGGGGCCCTGTTACCCATCTGGGAGACCTGAGACAGTGTGAGCCCCAGTGTTCACCTGGCCTACCTCGGCTGTCAAGGGCACTGGGCCGAGTGAGTCTACAGATGGCTGACGATTTTCCTCTGCTCTCAAATCAATGCACCTTCAGGCTTGCATGTGGCTTGGCGGTGAGTGGCCACGGGCAGAGCCCAGAGGCATCCACAGTGGGTCAGATGGCTGGAATCCTGTTCCCCAGGGGACTCAAGTTCGACCTGCATTGCATTCCTGGCTCCTGGCATTTGATGCCCCTGCCCGTTGGCGGGCTGGACCAATGGATGGAAAACTCTTTGTTGGCCTGCCTCTTGTAGGAAGCACATCGCGCAGGGAAGGCAAGAGTCTCTGGAAGGTTCTCCTGGAGTTCAACGTGCACTTTCTTTATGACTCAGCAACCCACTCCTGCTTATTTGCCCCCAAGAAAAACACAGCCTTGTGGCTACACACACACACACACACACACACACACAGGTCCACACCAGCTCATGGCAGCTCACTTTTAAGGAGCCCCAAAGCAGGGGACGCCCACAGACTGTGTCTGCAAACTGCCAAGGATAACTGAGCAGGGAGAGAGCTGGGACTGGCGATGAGGTGCCCCTTTGCCGCAGCACCCTATGCTGGAAGGCCTGAGTTCAGGTTCCAGCTCCCCGGTGAAGCCAGAGAGGCCAGGGGTGCCGCGTCAAAGGCCTGGGTCCCTGTCATTCACGTGGGAGACCAGCAGGGGGAGCTCCTGGCTCCTGATTTCAACCAGACCCGGCCTGGCTGCTGCAGGCATGCTGGAAGTGAACCGGTGATTAGATTTCTCTCTGATGCTCTTTCAGATAAATAACAATGAATAAAAGTTTAAAAAAAAAATCTCAGACATGGTCACCATGAAGAATGCATTTTTAAAGACTATTTGGGAGCTGGCACAGCAGCCTAGTGGCTAGTCCTTGTCTTGCACGCGCCAGAATCCTAAATGGGCACCAGTTCATATGCCAGCTGCTCCACTTCCCATTCCTGCTGTGGTCTGGGAAAGCAGTAGAGGACAGCCCAAAGCCTTGGGACCCTGCACCTACATGGGAGACCCCAAAGAAGCTCCTGGCTCCTGGCTCCTGGCTCCTGGCTTCGGATCGGCTCAGCTCCAGCTGTTGTGGTCACTCGGGGAGTGAACCAGCAGATAGAAGATCTTTCTCTCTGTAAATCTGCCTTTCCAATAAAAATAAGTAAATATTTAAAAAATAGCAGGAAGGAGAGAGAGGAGGGCAATCAGGAATAAGGAGCAGCATGGTGGGGCGCCCCTGTGCTGACCTCCGGGCTGCCGAGAGGGGCCCTCATTCACGCTCCCCAAGCCGGGTCAGTGACCTTGGTGGCCTGGCCAGGAGGGCTCTCCCCAGGCCAGTGCCTGGACTACTCAACTGGCACTGTTTCTATGGAGTTCGTTGGAGCGGACGTGGCAATGAGTCACAAGCACCTGGCTGCTTCTGAGTTTCCCATCGTGGCTCAGGAATCCAAGCACTTGGGCCACCTACGGCTGCTTTCCCAGGTCACAGGCAGGGAGCTGGATGGGAAGTGGAGCGGCTGGGACTCGAACTGGTGCCTCTATAGGATGCCAGCTCCAAGAGTGGAGACTTAACCTTCCAAGTCACATGTCAGCACCCCCCCCCACACACACACACGGGTGTTCTTTAACAAGGGAGCAGTGGTGGGGGAACTGGGGCTCAGAAAACAGAAGCACAGAAGGGAGACGGCCGCCGGCGGCTGCAGCGGGAGCCCGAGACGCTGAGAACATGGTCTTGGACGCGCAGCTCCACACCTCGTGAGCCGCTGGTGGTCGTGCCTCGTTGCAGCAGCCACCCTGGCACGCTCAGGCACCTCAGAGAACAAAGCGAGAAAAGAGAACAGGCGGGATGGGCTCGAGGTTAGAGGAGGGGCGGCAGTGCAGCCAGAGGCAGGGAAGACCAGGCTCGGGGCTTACGCAAGAGTGGAAGAGATTAACGGAAAGAAGCGAGACAAGAAAACAGAAAGCCCCAAACAGCCCGCAAATCAACGGGGCAGAGGTCATCTTCCCTTCTTTCTTTCTTTCTTCTTCTTTTTTTAATTTTTAAAAAAGATTTATTTATTTTATTGGAAAGGCAGATGTACAGAGAGGAGAGAGAGGAAGATCTTCCGTCCGATGATTCATTCACCAAGTGACCGCAACGGCCGGTGCTATGCTGATCCGAAGCCAGGAACCAGGAACTTCCTCCAGGTCTCCCACACGGGTGCAGGGTCCCAAGGCTTTGGGCCGTCCTCGACTGCTTTCCCAGGTCACAAGCAGGGAGCTGGATGGGAAGTGGAGCTGCCGGGATTAGAACCGGCGCCCATACGGGATCCTGGCGTGGTCAAGGCGAGGACCTTAACCATTATGCTATCGTGCAGGGCCCCCTTCTTTCTTTAAACAACAGTGATGGTGAGGACAAGTACTGTGGCAGAATGGGTTAGGCTGCTGCCCGACGTGCCGGCATCCCACATAAACACTGCCAGTTCAAGTCGCGGCTCTCTCACTTCTGGCTGCCTTGTTGTGTACGTGAGAAGGAAGTGCAAGATGACCCCAGCAATAGGGTCCCTGCCGCCCGCGTGGCAGCCCTGGCTGGAGCTGCAGGCCGCTGACTTCAGCCGGGCCCAGCCATGGCTTGTGGCCATGTGGGCAGTGAATCAGCGCTGTCACTCTGCCTCTCAGATAAAAAAATAAATACATCTTTTTTTTTTTTTTTAAAAAAGGTAGTGATAGTCTCTCAGGATTTTTAAATATTTATTTGAGTGGCAAAGAGAGAAAGAGAATGAGAGTGTCTGGGCTGGGCCAGACCAGAGACCAGGAGCCAGGAGCTCAGTACAACCAGTGCCAGGGACCCGGCTCACCACTGCTGGCCCGCGGCTGCTTCAGCAGGAGGCTGGGCTCAGAGGGTGCTTCCAAAAGGGAGGGAGAGTCCCCTGCTGGTTTTTTTAAATGCAGTTTTTTTTTGTTATTCTTCTTAAAGATTTTTTTTTTTTCTTATTGGGAAGGCAGATATACAGAGAGGTAGAGAGACAGAGAGAAAGATCTTCTGTCCGATGGTGTACCCCCCCCAAGTGGCCACAACGGCCAGAGCTAGGCCGGTCTGAAGCCAGGAGCCAGGGGCCCAAGGAGTTGAGCTATCTTCCACCCCCTTCCCAGGTGCGTTAGCACAACAGCCAGGACTCAATCAGCGCTCCACTGTGGGATGCCAGGATCACAAGAGATGGCCAAGCTACAGCGCTGACCTCTCAGGACACAAAGGGCTAGCCATCCGGTCATCGACCGGTTCTACACAAACGAAAATAAAACCTCTGGCCATCTGCCGGCACTAGAAATCATTAGATTCCCAACCTCCAGGGAAAGAATGACTCGGCCAAATATGTGAGAATTCAGATGGC